CTTTTCTTTTTCTTTTTTTTTTTTAGTGGTACTATTGTTGATCTGAATCTTGTCCCCAAGAGGAGAAGTACATAAGTGGGTTTTAGAGGTTCCAGAAACCATTAAAGTCCTTTCAGGTTGAAATGTTTCACATCAAATTTCAATGTCGAAATAATACTTTTTCTTTATCCTCACAAAAGAGGAAAATACGAAGAGCTTCAAGTGGGAAATGTTCTGTAAGAGAAATATCCTGACTTGTTTTCTATGCTCTTATTCTCAGTTCAATAACTGTTTGAAGGAGTGAAATTATATAGGCTCTTCATACATAATACAAATTAATCATATCAATCATCGCGCTCCCTTTGTAAACAGCTCAATCATCATTCCACTTAGCACACAAAACTAGGCTCTCACTCCCAGTGGGGTATTACTCCAGAGTCTTAGCTGATTCTGTCTGATTCATACCTATGCTACCATGATGGAGCCCAGCACCAGGCCCAGTACAGACAACTGGGAAAAGAGTTGTTTCATTGGTAGCAGAAAGAATGTCTGACAGATGGTCTACTTTTCTGTTTCTAAGCCACATGGAAGTACTATATTAAATGTGATGTGGTGGTCAGGAACTTGGGCTCTGGAATCAGACTGACTCAATTCCACTGCCAACCAGATTGTGGCCGCAGGCCATTCTTCTATCCTCTCTGATCCTCCATGACTTTACTCACAAACTGAGGGCATGGTAATACCCACCCCAACTGATAGTCCTTAAAATCCTATTTTATTGTTTTATTATTTTCACTTAGTCAGTTCTCTGGACTTTGGACTAAAAAGGGAGACATGTCCAAACTCAAAATATGGCCAGTCATAGCTAAGCTGCTTACAAGATAGAGTGGCTGTGGTAGCCCTCCTGGAGAGCACAGGTCTGGTGGGAAGAAGCACCAGGTCTGCTTGATATTCTTTAGCTCCAAACCACACATTTCCTGGAATAGACCCCAACTATGGTCAGTAGGGCAGCCTTGCACAGTAGGAGAAAAAAGACACATGAAGGGCACACTAATCTGCCAAAGTGTACTTCATAGTACCAAACACTGCTTAGGGGTTCTGAGAACACCCAATATTAGTGCAGATTCATAGCCCAGTGTCCAGGACCCCACTGCCTCTGACAGTCACTCTCCAGTATTTCTGAGCTACTTCCTTTTCTCCTGTAAAATGAAAAAATAGCAAATAATCAGAGGTCTACAATAAGAATTCAACCTGATATCTTTAGAAATGCCTAAAGAGCACAGATCAGCTAAAGAGTAGTCAAAATCAATGTCATAACAACAGCAGCAGGATCAACCAAATGCATGTGTAAAGCCCTCCCTGCTAAATGCCAATTAATAGTGGCTTCACTATTAAAGAATCAATCTCCACAAGTGTTAAGATTAAATGAAAGTAGACAATATAAGAAGAGGTGTCATGATAAATAATTTTAATTGGAGGAAAGATATTGCTAAGGTGTAAATATGAAGTGTCCTCCTAAAAAGTTCATGTGATAAAAGCTTAGCCTCCTGCTGATGGCTTTTGAGAGGTGATTAGATTATTAAGGCTCAAACTATATCAATTTATCATCCATTGATAAATTTATAGCTGAATGGACTCAGGAGGTGGGGCTTAGTTGGAAGACGGTCACAAGGTGGGGTTTGTCTGGAAGGCTACATCTTGTCCCTGCCCCTTGTTCTCTGTCTTATCCTCCATGTGGGGCACTTTGCTCCACCACATGGTCCCTGCCAGGACGTTCTGTCTCACCACGCATGGGGCTCAGACACTACAGAGTTAAGTACTTCATTGGACTGAAACCTCTGAAACCATGAACCAAAATAAATCCTTCTTCCCCTAAGTTGTTTTCTCAAGTGTTTTGTCACAGTGAAGTAAAGTCTAACACAGATAGATAAGTCATGAATAAACATTAGTGTACATTATTGACTTTATGCACATCCTCTTTAGAATTGCCAGGATTAGATTTTGTATTTCATTTTTTATGTTTATGTAAAAATTTGCCCCAAAACTATTTTACTGATCACTATAGCTACTAATTTAAAAAATTATCAGGTACTCAAAATCCCCCAAATTGCTAGAACTCTAACCAGAAATCTGTCAGAACATTAAAAATTTCAAGGATCACTAATTTTATTTTATTTACTTTGAAAGTTCAAAAGAATAGGTCTTGGCTGATACATAGCCTGTTATACACCTATGTGTGCAGTGGATAGGCTATTTAACAGAGGGCCAAAGCCTAAAGGCTTTCTTTCTTTCTTTTCTTTTTCTTTCCTCTTTCCTGTTGTTTTTTTTTTAATACCACAAGTGCCATAATGAAGTGGTGAAAACTGAAAAGAAATAAGGAAAAAAGAAATATAGTGCAGATAATACAGTAGAGAAAGTTTTAAAATATGTATTACTCCCGTCTGTGGGGAAAACACCTCTTTGGATATGTTCTTGACAGGCTGAGTTATTTCTGTCTATTGGGTATGTATAAAGATGTATTTATGGATTTAAAAATCTTTTGAGGAGGGCTGTTATTTACCCAGTTGACTAAAATGGACTCAAACTGTGTAAATAACTATTTAGGACATGTACTACAGGCCAAATGCTGGCACAGCCTACATATCATGCCTGCCAGAAAAGGCAGACAGGGAAAACATGGAAAAGCCACTACACACAGTTAATCTGAAGGCTGCACAAAGATCCAGCTCTACAGGTCTCAGGGATGAGAAAAGAGGTTTAGAAGGGTCATGGCTGGCATGGAAACTTGCGTTAAGTTGTCACAGCAACACTTTCAGGCATCATTCTGCATTTAGCAAGAATAAATCTCACTGCCAAAGAAAACCACCAAGGAAGGGCAAAGAAGACTAAAGGTGTGGCTCCCATGCCTCTGTTATGAATTTAGTGGAGAGGAGGGGAGAGAAGTTAGCACAGAAATTTCTTATGGTCATACTGGAAGTAACTGACTTTAGTTCTTTGGTAGAGAGCTGAGGAGAGGCTGAGATGAGAAGAGTCTTATCTACACACTGAGGAAACTGGAAGTTTAGGTCTGGCATAGCCCTGGGACCTCAACAAATCATAAAACTCATCCATATCTTATTTTCTTCATCTGTCACATGGGGCCACACCTGCTTTATCTGCCACTGGGATTGTTTTTCAATGGTTCATCTGAGCTCATTCAAATGAGATAATTTATGCAAAAATGTCCTTTTTAAAAAAAAAAAACCTGGATGGTGGTCTTAACCATAAAAAATAAAAAGAAAAAAACATTCTAAGTGCTAAGCTTGTAATGTGAAGACTTATATGGCTCCTACTTACAATCAAATTCATTATTAAATAGGTATTTAAAGATGACTTGTTAAAGGGAAAAGAAACATACCAAATTCCTAATTCCTGGTCGCGGTTCACCAGAGGGGAAGAACTGGCATTGGGCATTTGCCCTCTGAAAATCCTCTTATCAGATTATGTTTGAGAAAACTTAAGCATTATAGTCTCAAGACCCAGTGCATTTCAGCAGTCTGCAAATCTTAATGCACCAACTAAACTACCTGCCGATTCCTGGATGATATACGTTTTAAAAAGCAAGAAAAGAAAACAAAAAAGAAACAAACAAAATGCTAGGCTGTGACCCCATGTAGCTATTTGGGGCTACAGGAAAAAGAATTTAGATTCCATTTACACCTCTTTGAAAACTCATAGTGTAAGTAGAATTCTGAGAAAGTCAGGCTTTATGTCGAAAGTGCTGACACCACCTTAGCAATTGCTCTGTGAGCAGCGACACCATAACACATACATACCACTTGAAAGAATAAAGGCCCCTTGGATTTATGCTGCATATCATTTTCCAGTAAAAGTCAAAGGTCAGAGGTTACCTGCTTCTGCCTCAGCTCTGGACTAGTTTACTATTCCAGGCTCCATTTTTACTAGGTTTAAACTTGTGATGAAGTCAGCAACTTTTCTTTGAAAGATAAAATGTCTCCAGTGCTTAAAATTGTATTTGTGGAAGTTATTTCCAGGGCAAAGAACATACATGTACCTTAAAAAGGAACTTTCCTGTTCTTTGTTTCAAATTAATCATACTAAATTCATTGTAGACTTTGCAATTCTAATTGGTATAGCCCAGCTAAGTTAGACAAGAAAATTCCTTTGTTGCCTAACAGCACTCCAATGAAACATGATCACAAAACCAGATTTTAAAATATATACCTACTGTGGGCTCAGAGTCAACTTCAAATAAAGAAGTCTTTTTATATTCAGATAAAGATTTCTCTTTTAAACTTTAATTGCATGAACTGAACACAAAATCCACTGCAGTCAGGTATCATCTAAAACAGTACATTTGGATATATTCGTTCACCTTTTTGCTGAAGACTAACTTAAGGTTTATACTTTACTTCCTATGAGTAATAATCAAAGATGAACACCCACAGGCACACACAGGTATTTGCATTCAAAGTACAACACTTAGTAAGTTGATATCTTTCCATGTCTTCCTTGATTGCACTCAATCTGGTTTTGCCATGAAGTTAAACACTTAAGAGAGTCAAATAAGTAAAACCAGAAGAATGGCCTCAACCCAGTGAAGAGGGAAGCCCAGCATAGGTTGACCAATGCCTTCTAAACATCTTAAGACATCATTCACTTGGAATCTTAGTGAGAGTTTCTTCGTGATTCCTTGAAAAGCCTGCAAGGCAAGTAGTAAAAATACTTTCTATCTGCATAGCAGTGCCATACAGTTTATGCACATTTGAGCTTTTCTAATCTTGCCCTCAGTCAATTCACTGACCCTATTTCATGGAGGTGGCCAGGTGAGAGTTAAGCAACTGGAGTTGGCACAGAAGAAAAATAGGGCCAGGGAATCAAACAAGATGAGTAGAGTTTCAAATTATCTGACATTTACATTCTAGGAGAAACTGCACAGATAGTAACTAACTAGCATTTCTGATTTTTCAGCCCTCAAAAATGAAACAAGTAGTAAAAGAGAATGAGAACACCTGTCCTACCTTGCTCACTGCTGTTATCCCCACTGTGTGACGTGTGGCCACCACTGGAAGGGCCTGGGGTTCCTCCTGAACGGGTAGATGCTGTGTCATCATGATCTCTGTTCCAGGAGGG